AGAGGAAAAGCAAAGAATAAATACATTTTTAAACAGGAACACCCGCACCTCACGGGCCTGCTCGGCCTCCCCACCCTGCCCCTGGCCCCGCTGGGGTGGCTGTGGTGGCACAGCGGGCTGTGGTGGCAGTCCCGGCTGTGGGGTGGCCGTGGTGGTGCAGGCCCCCCCCACCCCGTCCAGGCCACATCGCCATGTCAGGACCCACCAACATCATATTCTTGGGCAGCGAGTTGGGACAGCCCAGAACTTTCTTACCCCGGCTTCAATACAGCGAGTCAGGACAATTAGGCACCCGCTAACCGCAGCCGAAACCCCGGCACCTGGAACCGTAGCCGAGACTCTTGCTGCCTCGATCGCGGCCCACCTTTGCGTTTTCCTGACCAAAACTACAGCCAGAACGGAGTTACACCCTCCAAAGGCAATCATCTCACAAACCTACGAGCGGCGGTCCCGTGAGGCCCTTCGAGCTCTCCTGGACTGCAGCGGGCTGCCACCGGGCATCTCCCGCTGAGGCGGACACCGCTCGGAGCTCGCAAACTCTCCGGGCTGCCAAAATCAGAGGAACGTCGCCGAAAGGTGACGACGGGACCCGGGCTGAAAGCCTTTGCTCCTCGGGGGTCACCCCTTCACCCGTTGAGAAACGCTGAGACATTTGACATGAATATGTCACTGAACCCAAGGGCAATTTTTAACAGGTATACCTCTGTTTATATATATATAGAGCTTAGTGTTTGTGTGCATGCGCCTGTGAATTGCCCCAGGTATCCGATAGCAAGTATAGTATTGCCCTTTCAAATCTATAATTAAGCCGCTGTTGATTGTAGTAAGTTCTACTTTGTAAATGTTAAATTAGTCAATGATTAAGTGCTGCTAAGTCTTGTGATTCACCTTAAACTGTGAATGAACCCCAGACTGCTGCTACACACGTAATCCCTTCAGACATAAACCATTGCCCAAATCTGGGACTAGGAGTCGATCCAGATGCACCTAAGCTCCATCAGGAGCTGAGAAAGCAAGGGGGTCTTCCTGAACCTCACGACTCAACGGGAGGGTCTCCCCTACCTTTCTGCACCTCCAATCTCTGTGCAAATCAGGAAAAATCAATTCTCACTCTACTTTCCTTTGTATGTTTCTCCCTTACCCTTTTGCATCTTCGGTCTCTGTTTAAGTCATCCTAGTTTAATTCTTACTTGATTTTTCCTTATACACCTCATCCATGGATTAAGTAATAAGAGCGAACCTTGACGTCAAACTTTGTGAAGTCACCCTTTTAGAAACTCCTATTAAATCACTTTCGCTCATACCCTCGACGGTGATTCTTTAAGCGACCCAAACCACTCGTTTGCGACAGGTGACACTCCTGGCCACGGTGGAGGCTGCGGTGGCCCGTGTGGCTGCGCGTGCCCGTGGCGGGTCCAGCGCTGGCCGCCGATGCTGGCCGCCGATGCTGGCCGCTGTCACGGGGAGCCGGAAAACGCACAATGAGCGGGGCCTTATCTCGCCCCGCAGCCCTTCCTGGGGTCACGGCTGGGTCCCCCCCACCTCCCCGGGACAGGGCAGGTGGGGGGCAGTGGGGCCATGTGACCCCCCCCCCCCCCCCCCCAGATGGGGGGGGGGGGGGGGAGACACC